AAAGAAACAACTTAAATAAAATTAAAATTGAATGTATGACAATTTAAAGTATAAGTATATAACTTGAACTTATTTTTCCTCCTTTGTAATAATTATTCCTATCTAAAATATTTTTATTTATTACAATAGGAAATGTTTTTGCATAGCAATTAAATTTCGAAAGATGCAAATGGGAAATAAAAAGGAAGATTCTAATATTTTTACACAAAATGCAGGGTGCCTTGCAAGAAGCACGGTGGAGTGAGATTCACGATCAACGGCAGAGACTACTTCGAGCTGGTCCTAGTCAGCAACGTGGGCAACGCTGGGTCCGTCAGATCTGTGAAGATCAAGGGCTCAAAAACAGATTGGGTGGCCATGTCCAGGAACTGGGGTGCCCTCTGGCAGTCAAACTCTTATCTCAACGGTCAATCTCTGTCCTTTATGGTCACAACGAGTGATGGCGTCACAAAGACCTTCTTGAACGTTGTCCCCTCTAATTGGGCTTTTGGGCAGACGTATTCAAGCCCAGTTCAGTTTTGAAGCTGCTAATTGGGCTTTATTGATGTTATTTGGGCTTTGGTAATTTTTGCAGGCCGCGGCATGCTTACAATTTTTACCAAGAGCAGCCCGCCAGAGAAATTTCGCATTAGTCGAATGAAATTATACATTTGTTTTGTTGTTTCTGTTGTTGTTTGAGATGAAGAGCTGAGTAGCAAGAAATTTGAGAGGAGATTGGTCGGCCCTGTATTTAGCCATTGTTTTCAGTTAAAGAGTTATATACATTGAAAATAAGGAGCATGAAATTGTGAAGCTATGGATCTGAATTTTTCTATTTTTATTTTATTTTAGATGGGATTGGATCTTATCAATTATTTGTGAGTTGGGCCAAAATGCGAGAGGCTTTGTGTAATGGGCTTGTTTAAAGAGAGAAGATGGGCCTAACACGTGGATTAATAAATAAGAGAAATTTACTCCCTTTACAATTCATTGTCTAAATAATATCACGATTACGATCTCCCAAAATTTTCATCAAAATTACGTTTTTAATAATTAAAAGATTATTAATAGGTCAGACGGTTATATATGGCCTAATTAACCATCAAGTGGGATTAATTATATTTTTTGAAACGTGAGAAGAGGTCTCCCTCAAGCAGACGACATAACCACGTTATCTTCTTCCTCAAGAAGCAGTCCAACGCACGTCTTTCTCTCTCCTTCGTATACTCAGGCCGAAGGATTTTTTTTCTCCCTCGTTCATCTTTTTCTCGCGCAAAAATTTTTTCCTTTCTCTGTTCTTAATTTTCACCATTGAGCAGCATATAAAAAAAAAAAGAAAGAATCGGTCACTCCTAGTAGACCCGTCGCGATCTGTCCGCCGTTCAACATCTCGCCCTCGCAAAGCAGCTCCTATCCGCCGCTTTCACATGCGTCCTCCCAACAAGCCCTTGTCGAGGAAACCTCAGACCCGAACCCCTCCGATCAGCCATATACGAGAGCTTCAAGGCCACGCGCTTCCACCGCCGAGATCCCCCATTGACAAGCGCGTTTCGCCCTTGCTTCCACCAATCAAAGTTTCACGCATTTCAGATGGTCATAAAGACACCATAAAGAAGAAAAGGAATATTGCGAACAAGGGTAAAAGCAAGATACTTGAATCTTCATCGACAAGTCTTCTTTGATGAAGACGAAGCAGACAATCAGTTGGCGGCGGACTTCTCTACTGATGAAGATGATGTGATGTAAAGTAGACATATGTTGTTTACCTTATGTATAACTACATTCGTTTTGGATTTTGCAGTCATTTAGAATTATTTAGAATTATGTATTATGTTGTATTATGTTTTATCTCGTTTCAATGTTGTTATATATGTTGTTTATCTTTTGTATAACTATACGGTTAATATTAGAGAACTCTCATATCATGTTTATTTAATGTATATATACAGTATATCTAAACATATGAGATTTATGAATTATGTTTTATCTCGTTTCAGTGTTGTTTATATGTTGTTTATCTTTTGTATAACTATACGGTTAATATTAGAGAACTGTCAGATCATGTTTATCTAATGTATATATACAGTATATTTTAACATATGAGATTTCGTGAGGAACAATTTGTTCTTTTCATGTTTATCTAATGTATATATACAGTATATCTTAAGATATGAGATTTCGTGACGAACAATTTGTTCTTTTCCATTCTTGATCGGAGCTTTATTTTTTTTAGTATGATGAACGATTTTTTTTTGGAACTTAAGATGTGGAAAAACAGACAACTCCGTTTGAATTTATGAATTCAAAAATTCCTTAATTCTAAGTATCTATTTGGTAATTTTTTCTTTTTTTTTTTCAATTTCCGTTTTCTTTGCCGGTCATTCGGGAAAATTGATTGCTAGAAACCAAGTGAGAGAAAGGTTATGGAGAGAGAAACCAAGTGAGAGATTACCGCTTTATTTACGGAGAGAGAAACCAAGTGAGAGAAAGATAATCTCGTAAGTGTAAAAAAAATATCATATGCAAGTTCTTTTTTGATTAAACTTTCTTTAGTACGTATATATGTAAATATATCTTACAGGAACTCTATATATGTAAATTCCCCAATAAATAAAACAGAGAATTTTTACCTGGTGAGTGGTGAGAATATTATTAAGCAAACTACAAGGTATACTTGTATGGAGCATCTATTTCCAATATCACATGGATTTCAATTAAATGAATGTTCATTTATGTAGGGATGGACATCCATTTAAAAACAATGAATAGGACACTCGTCTGAGTATTCTTCAACTACAATTGTATACGAGCCGAGTTGAGTCTAATCAAATTCGAGCTCCTAACATAATGTATTTTGGTAAGTTAAGATTAGAGGGATACGTAAACTAAACGGATCTCCTACTTTTCGGAGTCTCGAGACCTGAATTAGTTAACTGAACTTGATCTAACTTGTGTTAAAACAAACTCGAGCTCAGGTTGTTTGGCTGAATTCAAAATTAACGAGTCAAGTCGAGTCGAGCCTAGTCTAAAAGGAGCTCTATTCGTTTTAACTGCTCTTCCAGAAACTAAATGGTTAATATTTTACAAACTAAGGAATGTTCAATTAAAAAATATTTTGTATGAAACCGATTTGAATGTAAATTGACCCAATGCTTCCTTCTTGAAGTAAAAATAGAAAACAAAAGATTGAACTCTATTTGCTCCAACATATCCATCAAGAAACCTAGAGCCTTATTTATGTAGTGTTTCAAGAGCAAGCACAGTTCAATTTCCAACAAATGGGTAGTAGTTAGTACACAAACAAACCAGAAAAAGAGGAGGTAAATATGTAATTACATTTCTAGCCTCGGGCTCTATAGTGCATTTGGTGCAGATTCATAACATGCAAGTGAGTTAGTTATGAAGTCTGATTTATATTTTTATTCAAGTAAGTTAAATCCACAGGCTGCAGGCACAAACTATTTGTTATGTTATTCCTCATGTTGCTTAGCTGAAAATGGAATTTTTTTTTTCAAGACCAAGCAAAGATGTCTATTAAAAAAATAAAAATAAAAATTGCTGTCTTAATCTATAATATAGTAAATATATCTAAATTCTTACATAACAACTCTCAATTGACTAACAGAAAGTGGTTCAAGCTCACCAAATATGTCAAGCAATTGAGACTATAAATATTGTACAAACTCTGTTCAAATCCTCCATCAATCAATTCAAGGCATATAACTATATATCATTAGTAACAAAAGTATACATTTATATACTATGGCAGCCATCATTCTTTCCTTAGTCATTTTCTCAATTATTTCGAGTTCCTCGAATGCATTGAGTCCAAATTACTACGACCAAACGTGTCCTAAGGCCGAGCCGTTAATCACAGAGGCTGTGCGCAAAGGCATGAAAAATGACAAAACTGTCCCTGCAGCTCTACTCAGGATGCACTTCCATGACTGCTTCATCAGGGTATACATGCAAATAATAAATAATTCTCTTTTTCAATTAAACCTAACTAAGCATTTTTTTTTTTTATTTTTTTCTTTTGGACTATGATTTTTATATTATTCTTGTCAGATTGGACTAATTTTTTTATTTTAATATATATTTTTTTTTGAATTATTTTGTTAAAGGGATGTGATGCCTCTGTGCTTTTGGACACCAGGGGAGAAAATCAAACAGAAAAAGATGGGCCACCAAACATTTCATTGCATGCATTTTATGTAATTGACCATGCAAAGAGGAAAGTTGAGAAAATGTGCCCTGGTGTAGTCTCTTGTGCAGACATTTTAGCCCTTGCTGCTAGAGATGCTGTTGTCCTTGTAAGTGGACTTAATTAAAACAATTTAATCAAAATTTTTACTGAATTTAATTTATGTATGTATATATTATGTATATATTATTGATCATTGTTTAAATTTTTATAAATTTTGTATTATATTGTAGTCTGGAGGTCCAACTTGGGCAGTGCCTAAAGGAAGGAAAGATGGCAGAATTTCAAATGCAAATGAGTCAACACAATTACCATTCCCCACATTCAATTTATCTCAATTGCAGCAGAGCTTCTCCAAGAGAGGCCTTTCCCTGGAAGATTTAGTGGCACTATCAGGTAATTAATCATAATTATAATTATTAGATTTTCTTTTATGAAATTTTACTACTTTTACAAGCACACCAAACTAATGGCTTCATAATAAATACCCACACTTGCATTATTAGGTATAAAAATTATGATTCATAAACCATACTTATGCAATGTTAAATGTTTGTACTATGTTACTATACTATGTATCAACATTACAGGGGCCCACACACTTGGTTTTTCCCACTGTTCATCTTTCCAAAACAGAATCCACAACTTCAACAACTTAACTGACGTGGACCCGTCTATGAATCCTTCGTTTGCGGCTGGGTTAAGGATGGTTTGCCCCATGCATAACAAGGTGAAAAATGCCGGGTCAAATCTCGACCCATCCCCAACTGTATTTGATAACTTGTACTACAAACGGCTTATCGATAGGAAGAGCATTTTGACTTCTGACCAAGCCCTGTTGACCAATCCCACGACTATGGCACTGGTCGAGAAATTCGCAAGCTCTCGAGAGAACTTTTTCGAGGCATTTGTTGAGTCGATGGTGAAGATGAGCAGCATTGGTGGTGATGGGAATGAGATTAGATTGAATTGTAGAGTTGTTAATTAATTAGGATTAGTGTGGTTGTGAGGGTCACATTTTCTTTTTCATATTGTTTGTTTGTTTGAAGGGAGTTTGAGTTTATGATTGTGGGAGTCATTTGATTAATGGTCACATAGCAAAAGTGTACTTTGTTGTTTGATTTAATTGTGATTAATGGTGATTTTGATTTGTTCTCCAAGTTTTATACATGAATCATTACTATTCCATGCATAAACACCACCAATCCAAGTGGATTCTTCAAATGAACAATGTGGGATATGGTAACTCGAAAACACAATTCACCTTACAAACACTTGCATTTAACACCAAACAAAACAAACTAGTACCTAATAGTCTCCTTAGTAATACTTTACCAATTAACATCTCACTCTGTTACTGACACTATTAACTCAAAGGAGCAAATAATTAATGAATTACAAACAATTAATTGTAGTACCATAATTATAATCAGATATAATATTAATGTGATCATATTTATATGTCCTTTTCAAGATTGTCTCTAAAACACATATACCAACAAATTCAGCATACAAAAACTCACATTTAACACCAAACAAAAACAAACTAGCACCTAACCATCATCTCCTTAGTAACCATCCTTGTGGATCGATTTATGTCCAAATAACACAGATATATCTGCTTCTCCAACTCCTCGAGTTGCTCCATGAAGCACGTCTCGTGTGTCTCGAATTCCTTCACGACTTCCTTCAACACCTTCTTTTCCCCCAACTTCCGAACACAAATGTCGGCCACGAACTTCCTGTGCTCCGTCTCGTGATCCAATCTCTTCACGATCCTACTCATCGTTTCGAAATCATTCATTATCACAAATACCCCTTTTGCCCCTGCGTCGACCTTTGCCAGAAGCTTTTCTGGTTCGGCCCGTTTCTTCATGAAGTGGGCCAAAGCCCACATACCAAGCCCGGGTGGGGCCACCAAGCCCAATAAGCAAGGGTTAGAGACTAGCAATAGTGCAAAGGCCAATGCACCAAATCCCATCATCACTATAAAGCCCACAATGGCCCTTTTCAAAAGATTTTTCCTTTTCTTCTTCTTAGTCTTCTTGCATTGTGATGATGTCAAGTTGTGGAGCAAGAGCGTGTGGCCATTGTGCAATTCTCGGAAATTCGGGGGACCCGTCTGCGAGAATGGGTTTTTCTTCGAGGCGAACAAGACGAGATTTTCGTGCACGGCACGGTGTTCGTCAGACGTCCAATTCGAACAATGGGGCGATTTTTGAACGAATGATATCACGTTTTTTATCGAAGTTCGGTCGAGTCGAGCTTGACGGATGCTCGTGAGGAGGGACCCGCAAATGCGGCTTGCCTCGTTGGTGATCTCAAAGTAATTAGCCACAAATCGGTGGAGGTTCAATGCAATTAAGGGTTCTTGGTGGGGCTCAAGCAGAAATTCACAAAGATTAGTTGAAGATGATGATGATGGTTGGTCTTCATGAAGAACACAGCTTGTTTCAAGTTGGCATTGTACTTTGTCGCGTATGTCATTGTATGACTTTGTCCTGAAGGCTTGTTTGTACTCTTCATTCACATTAATTGGTTTGCTCATCAAGCTTCTCTCATTCTCTGCTTTCCCTTGTTTGCCTGTGGAGAACAAGAAAATCAAAAAGATTTAGTTAGAATTTGCTAAGTATATTGCTAATTGAGTATTATCTATTATGCTCTAAATATTGAAATGCACCTTCTTTTGTGAAAGGCAAATTGAGTTTGGGCCAAGGGATTTTTCCCATATGAGATTTCTTGATCATGGACAGAACAATTATTAAATCTTCATGTCCCCTCAATTAGGAAAACTAAATTAACTTCCTATATAGATATAGTTTCAAAGATTTAGAAAGAAAACACCTCAAGCAAGAGCAAAAATTGAAGTAGGAGAATAGGAAACAGGTGAGGTGACAGCTTTTTATACAAAGCCAACTCACAAAAGAAATTGAGTTATATATATATAGTGTGTGGATTCCAATTTCCAAATAATAATTTGTGCAAGAGAGAGTGTGGCTTTACTTAGACGTTAGCTTGAATTTTTTGTTTCTTTGCGCGTGTAATTAAAACTGCCAGGTCGGCTTCATCTGAATCTGAATGTGCAGTTCACAATGGGTGGGGCGGTTAATTAATGGTGATGACAATTTTAGGCCATCCATTGACTGACTAACAAACTTTTGCTAAGTTTTATCCCTATTAATCTGTAACAATAATTACCACAATTTTCAGTCACATGCACGGGGATTTCGGGTTTGAAGTTTATCACAATTCACAAATTTCGGGTTTCAAGTTTATCACAACTCACAAATTCTTATGTCCATAGCTCAATCTTGTACAATAATAAATACATACTTTGAATTATAATATTTTATTTTAAAAGTATATATTTTTTGTTCAACATGTGGTTGTATAACCTTTACATTGTCGAAAAAGTATGATTGTTTAACTTTAGATCGGCCTAACAATAATATTTATATGTTTGTTTTTTTAACTATCATTTTTATGAATGAAACCAAGGTCTTATAATTTCATTTATATTTTCTTCAAAATTATTCACTATTCATTTGATTTTAATGCAAGATGTAAAATAAATTTATTTTTTTATGATTAAAAAATATGCATTCATGTTGAATTAAAAAAAAATAATGGTTATTTTTATTTATTACCTAAATATTTATTAACTATTAATGACTTGTTACCTAGTAGAATAAGTATTTTTGTGTAAAAAACTATTTCAGAACTTACCAGATGATTGTTATTTTAAAGTTTACTTATAAAATTTCATCTATATAAATTTACATATTTAGAATTTTATTGACTTTTATAACAAAGTAAGTATTTCAATAACTTGTTATAAAGTGGGAATATAAAGACAAGGAACTTTCCCTTATTTAAGTAAGAAGCCACCCGAACTTAACAGGTGTGAAAATTATCACTAAACACGACCTTGGTCTATTTACAAGGGAAACTGTAATTATTATCTTTGAAAATTACAGAGTGATGTTATATTGTTCCATACATAATTGTGTAAGTCAATTGGTATATCTGGCAAAACAGATTAACTCAATTATAAATACCTTTAATGGGTAGAAACTTTATTTTGTACAGATTGGCTAACACTTAAACATTCATCTTAAGGGGGCATGATTTATAAAAGGGATAGAATGTATAAAAAAGGAGGATTGGTGTTCAAATAAACTTTTTTATTCTTTTAATATAATTAGGCAAAAATACCAAGGATATATATATTTTTCCGCCAAAATCATTAAATATATGCTATATATAGTAATTGTTGGACAAATCTGAATATGCAAAAAAATCGGTTCATTAATTGTGTAAAGATTTGTTTCTCTTTTGCAAAAAAAGAAAAAAAACGGTTTAAGATTTGTTTCTCTTTTTCCTGTTTTTTAGTTTATCAAAATCGTTGTTTGACAATAAATATTTATTTTTCTTTTTTCTATTTTTAGTATAAATCTACACTAGCTTATCTCTTCTGTTACAAAATCCCATTGCATACGTGTTTAAAAAATCTCATCCCTTATCTATACAGATTTGAAAAAATAAAATAAAATAGAAACCAATTCATAATTACTACTAGAAATCCATTATCTACTTTAATAAGCTAATTTTCATCGGTCTACTGACTAATATTTTTACAAATATTATAAGTTAACCATACAAAAAAGTATAATAATAATTTTAAAATGGTGTGTAATCAAATTTTTTTATATTCTCTTATACAAAATAATTTTACATTGTTTGACCCCGAATCTATAATTTATAATTATTAAGTATTGTTTATCCTCCTCTTTAATTTATAATTATTTTTTTCTTTCTCTTTTTAAATAGGATTAATAGTAGTTTCCACTTTCGTCATTCAGTGACTCTAACTTGAGATCTATTTATAATATTGTTAATTTAATATTATTCCCGTGCATCGCACGGGGTATACACTAGTATTTGCACAACAGATGAACCGCTTGGTATATGATCTATACAGTGTATTGAACCAAGTATTATGTACTCTACTCTACTTAATTCCTTTACCTTGTTTATGAATTATCGAATTAAGAGTGATATTATCCTTTAAGTTCAAAAGCAAAAAGTTTATATTTTTTCCTTAGAATGTACATACATGAAGTGCTGCAAACGAATCGAACCGAACCGAGCTTTGACTGTTCGAGCTTGAGTTCGACTAATATTCGAGCTTGTTTGACTTCGTTCATTTATAGTCGAACCTAAATTTACGTTCGTTTTCGTTCATTAAGTTCGTTTTCCTTCTCGTTTAGCTAATCGAAATTATTTAAACTTTTCGAGCATTCGATTGGCTCAATTGTTCGAATAGTTCGATTATCAAAACTTAAGAAATGCTTATTATTATTATTATTATTATTATTATTATTATTATTATTATTATTATTATTATTATCATTGTTATTATTATTTTAAAAATCTTGTTGTTCGCGAATACTTGTTCATGTTCGCGAACGCGTTCGTTCAAATAATAAACGAGTTGAATTACATGTTTGAGTTCAACACGATTATTAAAAGAACGAGCCTTAAACAAACACGAACGAACTTTTGCTCGCGAATGTTCTGTTCATTTGCAGCCCTATATGAAGGTCATGTATGCGGCACGACAGCCCATCCCAGGCTGGAAATATTCTCATTGCACTATTTTATTTTATTTTATTTTTTCTTTTTCCTTCATATCGTAGTGCATTAGCAAGTGACATTCTCGGAGGCTGGATTAATTCTCTTTATACTATTTTAGCATTGCTATATTATTAAACTCGGACAGTTGTCATACATAAGTAATTTTTCTAGTATTTTGTCATTACTTTTATTTTTTTCGTTGAATAAATAGTTGAATTTAAGTGGGAAAAATATATTTTTATAAGGCTCATACATTTTGTAGTTTTTTATTTTCATCCATTAATTTACGCTGGCATTTTGATATAGTAACTTTTAATTTGTCTCAATTTCATCCAAAAGAAAGAGACTGTAATTTTAAACCGATTTTTCGTTGATGGTGAAACAAAAAGATTGGAACAAATTGAGGGATTTCATAGATACAAAGATGGTGGATAAAATTAAAGATCCTTCATTAATTTTGGACAATTGTTCCGATGGAAATTGTTCGTCGCAATCGACCGCACCAAATTTGTAAGCTGAATTTAAATATTAGATTCTTAATGACTTACATGCATTGACAATTTTTTATTTGAATATATCATTGAAAAGTTCATAATATTACCATTTTACAAATGTAAGGTTAGAAAATTTTAGACAGTCATGTCTCTCACTGGCTGTCTGTAAATAAGATCATCTCCAATCGAAAAACTCATTCTCAAACTCATTTTGCAGTAATTGTTACATCAAACAGTAATTTATCTCTAACCGAAAAACTCATTCTCAAATCCAAAAGAATATTCTTGGAATATTCACTTTTATACAACTTTTACAAATTTTCAATATTACTCGCATATTTTGCTACTCTATAAATTTTAACCGCACTCTTATTTTAAATTCAATTTGAAATTTATATAATAAAACTAATTATAAAGTTATAATTCATATACATAATAAAATTAGAGAAATATATATTCATTCAAAATTAGATATATGCTATTAACAAAATAATAACCCATGATGATTTTAAATAGTTGATATTGGTAAAAGATAATGTAAAAAATTTACTTTATTCTTTGTTGGAGATAAATACTAGAATAAAAGATATATATCTGCACATTATAGGAAAAGTTATAGATTTTTCGGTGATGATAAGATCAAATAGGAACCTTCCCAGCATTTGGACTAAAAATTTTCAATGTTGATGTGAAAAAAAGGCAACCTTAAAAAATATTTGGACTGAAAATACAATATTAAAATTTTTTGCGTTTATGAACAGTGGATACGCAAATATGCATTCCTAAGACCTTCTCCAACCGAATGCCAAAACTCAATTTTTGCAGTGGAATCTCCTCCAACTGAACGGTAAACGCAGCGGCAATTTGCGTTTTTGCCTTCTCTCTCCTCCTCCAAGACGCAAATTTGCGTCGGAAAGCAAATTATGCGTTCTATCTTTTTTTTTTGCATTTTAGTCTTTCTTTTTATGTTAATCTTATTTTCTTCTTTTTGTTTTTGCATTTCAATCCTATGATGATTAAATTAATGAATATTAATTATATATTTATCAAAATAGTAAACTTAATAAAATACTAAAAATTCTTTATCTCATAAAAATTAAATAGTATAATTTTTAAAATAATAAATATTATATTTATCATTTAATTCTATATATTTCACAATAATAATATAAAATATACATATCATTAATGGTATTTTTATTTAACAAGAAAAGAAAACACTAACATTAAATAACAACAACATTACTAATACAGATTAAAATAACATTAAAACGTGATACATTACGATTTAAAGAAAACCATTTAAATAACAAGTGCTGAAATGAAATACAACATCACACAGTACTAAAATAAAAATACATCATAAAGCCACAAACTAAAAAACAAGTACGAGAATTTAGTAATATGGTAAGTTGGCACCGCTTCCTCCAAGATCATTGAAAAATTGGCCAAATGTATTGGTTGGAAATGGATCGGATTGGGCTTGTTGAGCTCTTTTCTCCAAGATTCGTGCTTTTCAGCTTCAACGTATGCTCGAACTCTAGGATCTGCTATGGAACTGACATCTTGAAGCAGAATTCTATTTTCTTCCCTCATTTCTTTTAAAGCGTGAGATCTGTCGCGTATTTCCAATTGATGTTTTATTTGATCGTTTGTATTTTTCATCTCCTCAACAAGTCTTTTGTTTTCTTCCTTCATAGCATTGATAAGCAACGATGAATCATCATTTACCTTTCTTTTTAGTTTGGCTTTCTTCACCCCGATAGGTCTTTCAGATGGAGAACTACTAGCAAATTGATCCGAGTCGCTTAAATTTAGAGAAAATGAAGAAATACCTGGGGATTCTTGTCGGGCAGACTCGGGATTTGGATTTTCTGACTCCGAAGATGGATAACGACCAGATTGTTTTTTCTTACTCCTCGAAGCTCCATCTTGAAATTTTTCAAAGCTTTTAATAATATTCCAAACATGGTCGTATTTCCATCCAAATTTGAATTTGGAATCTTCTTTGAACAACACTTTTGCTTTGAGCATCTACAATTTTCCAATAAACAATCAAACATAGCTAATATAAATAATAAATTTAATAAATAAAAAATATAATAAGATTTTATTACTCACTGTATCTTCATTTGAAGCACCACTTTGATGCATATCTTCTACTGCTTTTATGCATGCATGGAGTCTCTTGGCTGCTTTTTCGATTGTTTGAATCCGTGCTTGCATAGATCTCTGGCTACGAACCTCCCAATGCTCAAGTCTTCGTTCATTAAAAGCTTTTTCTATACGTGACCAAAATCGGTCAGATGGTTGGTATACCCCAATAATTGGGTCCTGAGAAATATCCATATAAACCTGACACAAAAGAATATCTTCAGCGTGGTTGTAAGAAGATGAACGGATCGACATTCTTACAAGAAGCTAGATGTGATAAATGTTTAGTGTATAGAATATAAATGTTAGGATGTAGTGAATGAGTCTCTCCCCTCTCAATATGATGTCTTCTTTTATAGTGAATGAGCCTCTCCCCTCTCAATGGTTTAACCCGAAATGAACACCCTCTGTAAAGGTGACACGCTTCCCCATTTTCTGACTCGAAAATGACATATCACTGCAATGTTCCCCACACCTCTCAATGCTTTGACCCGAAAATGAGGACTCTCTGCAAAGGTGGCACGCTTCTCCAAGTTCTGACTCGAAAATGACAAATCACTGCAGTGTTCCCCACACCTCTCAATGCTTCTGACCCGAAAATGGGCACTCTCTGCAAAGGTGACACGCTTCTCCAAGTTCTGACTCGAAAATGACATATCACTGCAATGTTCCCCACACCTCTCAATTGCTTTGACCCGAAAATGAACACTCTCTGCAAAGGTGACACACTTCTCCAAGTTCTGACTCGAAAATGACATATCACTGCAATGTTCCCCACACCTCTCAAAGCTTTGACCCGAAAACGAACACGCTCTGCAAAGTTGATCACGCCACTCCATGTTCTGACTCGAAAATGACATTTCACTGCAGTGTTCCCCACACCTCTCAATGCTTCTGACCCGAAAATGATCACTCCCTACAAAGTTTGCCACACCTTTCAAATTCACTACTATAAGAACATGACATATACTAAATCCTTCACACACTTGAATCTCTTCAAACATATTATCATATTTCTCAATCCCACATTTCTACAATGAATTTTAATTTTGGCAATTCGTCATCTTCTTCATCTGATTCTGAAGATGATCATATACTAAATATGACTGCTCTTCGTAAAAAACAAACAGTGATATCTCGTGTTATCGCTAATAACAACATCATCATTCAACATCTTCTCAATCAACAAAACCAAGAAGCTTCTCATGGAGGTTCTGTTCCTGGGCATATTGTTATCAATCGTGATCGAGAGGCTGCTGATCAAAGGTTATACAATGATTATTTCTCAGAAAATCCATTGTATAACGAGACCATGTTTCGTAGAAGATACAGAATGTCTCGCTCGCTGTTCCTTCGAATTGTCGATGCAGTCAAAGATCATGATCATTACTTTCAACAACGAGTGGATCGAGCTGGCAGACTTGGATTATCTCCATTACAAAAAATAACTGCCAGCTTTCGTATGTTGGCATACGGCGTTCCAGCAGATGCTACAGACGAGTATGTCAAAATTGGTGAGTCTACTGCCATTGAAAGTATGAAAAAGTTCTGTCGAGCGACAGTTGAGGTATTTGGCGAGCGATACCTGCGCAGACCCACATCTAATGATATTTCCAGGCTTCTATATATTGGTCAACAATGTGGTTTTCCAGGAATGTTGGGAAGTTTAGATTGCATGCATTGGAAGTGGAAAAATTGTCCTACAGCGTGGGCTGGCCAATATGCTGGTCGTAGTGGAAAGCCTACAATCATTCTTGAAGCTGTAGCAGATTATGATCTATGGATATGGCATGCTTATTTTGGTTTGCCGGGCTCCAACAATGATATCAACGTTCTAGAATCATCTCATCTTTTCTCGGATCTAACCCAAGGTATTGCTCCTCCAGCTTATTATATAATTCAAGGAAAAGAATACAACATGGGTTATTATTTAGCTGATAGCATATATCCAAAATGGTCTACCATTGTGCAAACAATTCATGAGCCACGTGGTCCGAAAAAAAGATATTTTGCAACGAAACAAGAAGCATGCAGAAAAGACGTTGAACGTGCATTTGGAGTTCTTCAATCACGTTTTGGCATTGTAGCAGGACCAGTACGTTATTGGCGAAAAGAAGTGCTACATGACATCATGACTACATGCATAATTTTGCATAACATGATTGTCGAGGATGAACGTGACCTAAGTGCACCAATCGAAACTGAAATGGAAACGCCGCCGCCGGAGGTCGAAATGGCAGTAGATGAAAGTACTCGATTTGAAGAATTCATATCTAGGTAACAAAAAGTTAGAAATAAAGATGATCACATTGCACTTCGAAATGCACTAATTGATCATCTGTGGGAGGAATTCACAAATTCCGAGACTTGAAAGACTATCTATGTTTACTTGATTGTTGTAATTTTTAATTTCTCATCTTGTGCGTTGTAATTTTTAATTTTATTTTGTCTGTTGTAATTTTTAATTTCTCATCTTGTGCGTTGTAATTTTTAATTTTATCTTGTGTGTTGTAATTTTTAATTTATCATTTTGTGCGTTGTAATTTTTAATATTATTTTGTGTGTTGTAATTTTTAAATTTAATTTTTAATGACTATTTATTTCTCTGATTTTATTATATATATGATTATTACTTTATAATTAGTTTATTACATAAAGTCCAAATTGAATTGAAAATAATAGTGTGGTTTAATTTGTAAAGTTGTAAAATATGTGGGTAGTATTGAAAAGTTGTAAAAGTTGATGTAGAGAGAATATTCTTTTAGGTTGGAGAATGGGTTTTTCGGTTGGAGATGAATTACTGCAAAATGAGATAGGTACTGCAAAATGGGTTTGAGTATGGAGTATTCGGTTGGAGATGGCCTAAGAGAGAAAAATTGCATCCAAACGCAATTTGTGTTCCGTTATTGCGTACGGTTGGAGGTGTTTTTTCCCTTTTGCGTTTGGGGATGCAGTATGGTTGGAGTTGGTCTAAAAACTGCAATTTGAGGATCTTTTAGAACTTTAACGATGAATTGTCATCCAATCGAAGGGTAACACAAATAAATCATAAAAGGTCATTGGATAGAAGGTTCTATAATTTCAATTTGATATTCCCTTCATTATGAAATATAAGGCGCATAAGGAATTAGCACAAATATTAAGGATACATTAATTAATAAGTAAATTGGTTAAATTAATCTTATTTACTCTAATTCAACCACTATAATTATAAGACTCTATGCTTCTTTAATTTCAACACAATTACAAGAAACAAAACTCTGATGTTTACAGAAGAAACTGAAAGGGCAGCTTTTAGAATAATTATGCTCCATGATAAAAAAAAGTTTGGCGGCATAGTTTATGAGAAATTTTGGTTTGCTGCAAATTAAAAATTATCTGCCAAATTTTTACTTCAAATAATAGAACTTTGTCTCTAACTATGAGAAAGAAAAAATGGAATTAGGAACACACCAAAGCCAAATTGATGGTTATAAGTTTTCTTTGATCTCAATATTATCCTTCATCTGAGCGATTATCGTTGGACTTAAACAATAATCCACCTGAGAAGAAGATGGTACATATTCATTTGACTTAAACTTGTTGCCATCTGAAGAAGTAAATGGTCACTTGAATGAAATATTAAATCAAGAAGTTGATGGTGTTCATGACCTGGTGGAAGAGTCGGAAGAAGAAGAAGTTCGTGGTTATTTCTTTGAAGAAGGACCTGAAAACGACTATGGTGAACACTTTGAGGAAGGGCTGGAGCAAGAAGATTATGTTGATTATTTTGAAGATGCCGAATTCGATCAAGAAACAAACAACACATGTTCTTTATGATATTCTCTTTCTTTCTTTTTTCAGTCGGTTAATTTGTCCTTAGAAATCAGCACAATCTTTTTTAATCTATAAACATACATTTACTAGCTTTTTTTAAATCCGTAAATGTCACATACTTTGTATTGATGAAGCCCAGACCGGATCGTTCTGTTAAGAATAAAAAATTTATCCAAAAGGTTATGTTCTTAACTGCTATTGCCCGTCCAAGATTTGATGCACAGGAAAATGTGACATTCTCTAGGAAAATGCAAGCACATTGGATGCGAAACCTATCACTTCAGTGGGAAGAGATGTCTACCAAAAATTCATGATTGAGAAGGTGTTACCGGCTATTAAGGAAAATTGGCCGAGAGAGGATATGATGAATCCTATATATATATTCAGCATGACAATGCAAGGACACACATTTATCCTAATGATGTTGTGTTTTGTGAAGCAGCTAGACAAGGTGGATTTGATATTCGAATCATTTCCCAACCTGCAAACTCTCCCGATCTCAACGTCTTGGACTTTGGATTTTTTGCCGCAATTCAAGCATTGAAAAATAACAAGTCTCCTAGGACAGTGAATGATCTAGTGCAAGTAGTCATGGAGTCATTTGATGAGTTTTGTGTTGTAAAGTCGAACCGGATATTTGTAACATTGCAGCTAGTTATGATTGAAGTTATAACAGTAGGAGGTGCCCATATACGTGATTCCACGCATATTTCCAAAGCAAAACTAGAAAGATTGGGCATGCTTCCTACTCAAGTGAGTTGTGATGCTGATTTGGTTGAAAGAGTGAGGCAAATTTTAAGCCAGGAATGAAGCTAGTTTTGGTGAATTATGATTATTGTACTTTCTGAAGTTTGTTGCCTTCTAAAGTAATTTGGATTTGGAGACTATATCTGTTGCAGTAAATTTGTTCTTGCAGTTTTTAAACTTTTGTCAAGTTTTGATGAATTATGATTATTGTACTTTCTGAATTTTGCAGTTTTCAAGAGGGGTTACGAACCGGCCCGAAACCCCTTAAAGGCTGGTTCAGGGTCGGTTTTTATTCATTTTTACCCACCGGGCTGGGCCGGTCCCGGGTTTTCTGATGGGTCGTAGTTGTTTTTTTATTTTTTTAATCTGTTTCTTAAAAAATATATGTGTCCTTTATTTATAGTGATTGTAATATGTTTCTTGAACCTCAAATGATTCTGTTAGCCCGCCTAATTAGTTTTGGTGATTATAATGTATGGACACCCAGAATTCTCTTTGCATATCAATGACAGATATTATACAGTTGTTGACGATACTATTGTGCAGAAATAAAGAAGAAGAAACACAGAGAGTGGTATCCAATTTTATGTAGGCTGAGTAAGGGTTGTTTGTTGTACATTTGACTTTCTTTTCAATTGATGGCACATACATTCATCATTCCCTATTGACTACTTGAGTTAATGATGGAGACGAAACCGCGATTGTATTCTTGGATAAATTTGACCGGTTTCGTATTTAGTTTATTTATTTCCTAGTATTATTTAGCCTTTTATTTTATTCCCTTAGTATTTGATTATTATTGATAACTAAATAATAATTATCTAGCCTATTTGTTAGGCAAGATAAGTAGCAATAGGGGGAAGTAGGATTCTTATATATTTGGCCTTCATCTGCTCGAGAGGGAGGGAGGTTTTATTCATAAGATTATCGATATTCACGTGATTTTATATCTCGTACCCCTTTTGTCTACCACGCTCTACATCAGTTGGTATCAGCAGTCGGGACGATTCAAGATGCCGCCAAAACGAAACGATAACGAACGACGGGATGCCCATCTCGAAGATTTGGATCGTCGAACTGATGATCTAGGGTTCCAAATCGAGCGAGTGGATCGCCGTGTTGAAGGTCTTTCTGAGGGGATCGACGAAATCCGACTTGCCATCCGAACCATGATGAACAGCGAGCAGATGAACCGCGACACCACAGGCCGGGGTGGTCGCGGCGGGTTTCGCGGAGGCCGTGGCGAGAGAGGGCCGTTCGGGGCGCCCCGGACGCGTTCGCCACGATCGACGCACGGCCTGGATGACGGCGAGGACACCCTATCGGACACCAACCCCTTCGGCGTCCGACGGGAGCAACAGGAAGATGACCATGGCGAGAAACGTTCGGTACACCGGGACAACGAGGGCTGGGACGTCCCTCACGAACAGCGTCGCGCTGGCGAAGACGGCGACAACCGCTAGGAGTCGAGCTTTCGGATAGAGGTACCGGAGTTTTCGGGCGGGCTCGACGCCGGGGAGTTTCTCGATTGGCTCGCTGCTGTGGAGTCGATTCTCGACTTCAAGGAGGTCCCCGATGATCGGTGGGTGGCTTTGATCGCAACTCGTTTGAGGGGTAGGGCTGCGGCCTGGTTCACACAGTTTAAGGGGGTGCGGCATCGCATGGGCGAACCAAAGATTACTTCTTGGGCGAAATTCCGTAAGCATCTCGAACGCGAATTTTTGCCGTTTAATTATACCCGCACTATTTATCAAAAATTCCAGAATTTACGACAAGGGTCGCGCTCGGTTGATGAGTACACTGAAGAATTTTATCGGCTTCTTACACGTATTGATATTCGTGAGACCATGGATCAGCTTGTGTCTCGTTATGTGGGTGGTTTCCGGATTTCGATTCAGGACGCGTTGAATTTATTTGTTCCGGACACGGTGTCTGATGCTCATCAACGTGCGATCATGGTCAAACAACAGCAGGCACGGGGCACATACTCGAATTTTTTTCCGATGGCACGAGGTGGAACGGGTACAGGAGCTGAGAGTTCGGGGTTGTCTGTGAACCATGGGCCAGGAGCCGGGCTGAGTGCAGCTTCAGCGTCCACGGGCCAGAGCGTGGGCCGGACTGGTTGTTCGGGCCTGGGCAGTGCGACAGTCTCTGCGGGAGTTCCGGCGGGCCATCGTACAGGCAGCGGGCCACGTTGTTTTGGATGCGGTGATTTCGGCCACCGGCAAGCGGCATGTCCACGAGTGGCGGGGTCACGTGCTTTATTTGCTGAGGAGATCGAAGCTTTTTCGGCGGCAGAGGTTTATGACGGGCCTCCTATCTTTGACGAAGAGCCGAAATTGGTCGATGAACATCTTACCGGCGATGTCGAGATAGCCCTTGTTCTTTGTCGGTCATGTTTAGCACCTCGGGACTCAACCAACGAACCGGTGGAGCGGCACCATATTTTCGAGTCAACATGTACTATGGGGGATCGCGTGTGCCGATTCATTATCGATTCTGGATCGTGTGAGAATGTCTTTGCAAAGGAGGCAGTGGGAAAGCTTGGCCTTTCAACGGAACCTCATCCACAGCCATATACTCTTGCCTGGATCCAGAAAGGCACGGCGGTCACGGTGGACCATCGCGTTTTGGTTTCTTTCTCCATTGGGCCGAAGTATCGGGATCAAACTTGGTGCGATGTGGTGCCGATAGATGCTTGTTGGGCCGTCCGTAGCAGTTCGATCGTGCCGCTACGTATGACGGTCGCCTTAATACCTACAGTATCCTTTTTGGGGGTGTTAAGATCGTTTTGCATCCAGGGCCGCCACGACCTTTGTCGGGTCCGTCTTCGTCATCTGTCCTTTTTCTTTCGCGTGGTGCCTTTGAGGATGACACTTTTAGCTTGTCAGTAGAGAAATATCCCAATAATAGAATGTTCGGTCGTCGTGAAATTGTGCATGGCTAGCCAGGTAAATACATATGGGTAACTTACAAAGAAGTTTTTGACATTGTGCTGCAAATTGGTAATTCCATTCGCAGCTGTGGAGTTGCGGACAGAGGACGGTGTGAAATTTATGGTGCTAATTCTCCTGAGCGGGTTCTAAGTATGGAGGCTTGTAATGCTCATGAACTCTATTGTGTTCCTCTGTCTGACATTTTGGGTGTTGGAGCAATAGCATACTTCACGTGCCATGCAGAATCTACACTTGATTTTGTGGGACAAAAAATAATCTTTGATCTGCCAAATCCTTTCCTTGGGGATATTGGTGAATGGCAGCCTGAGGGGAGCTTGAAGTTTGTTGATTTCAGAAGGAATAATTTTAAACACTCAGGAGAAGAATATGTGGAAGTGGAAAATTTCGAGAAAGTCTATGATATTGTCTCGATATGGGTATACGGGAACAATTGGGAGGCCTTTCTTGTTGCTATTATTAATCCAACCAAACAAGCAGTGGAGCAATGGGAAGCACAAAATTTCCTTGTTGCTATTATTAATCCCAACATCCAAGCAGTGGAGCAATGGGCAGCACAAATTGGTGTGTCTGGGGACTGCAATGCCCTCTGTGACAATGCCAAATTGAGGAAATATTTTATTGGGGAGCTCACAAGGATTGCAAAAGAAACGAAGTTGAAAGATTTTGAATTTATTAAAGTTGTACACATGGAGACGAGACCATTTCGAATTCGCGGCCGAATTCTTCTCAACCGGGGGAGAATGATGGAGACGAGACCGCGATTGTATTCTTGGATAAATTTGACCGGCTTCGTATTTAGTTTATTTATTTCCTAGTATTATTTAGCCTTTTATTTTATTCCCTTAATATTTGATTATTATTGATAACTAAATAATAATTATCTAGCCTATTTGTTAGGCAAGATAAGTAGCAATAGGGGGAAGTAGGATTCTTATATATTTGGCCTTCATCTGTTCAAGAGGAAGGGAGGTTTTATTCATAAGATTATCGATATTCACGTGATTTTATATCTCGTACCCCTTTTGTCTACCACGCTCTACATCAGTTAATTAATTTCTTTTCTGGTGAAGTTCCCACATAGTGATCACTTTCATTGCTTCAACTGGGGTCTAGCCAATTTAACATCTTATGTTCTATAGTTTGTCAATATAAGCAATTAAGAGTAGTCTTTTACTTCTTGGATGAGAACTATTTACACTACATTTACCCTGCAACTAAATTGCTGGTATACTTGGCACCAACCACAATAATTAGCTGCTCGTGCAAATTCTCGCTTTTGGCAAATAGTACAAATTCATATAAAAAAAGTATGCTTGGCAAATGTCTTCCATACCATGTCTTCCATGTGAATCGACCCATATAAATTGCATGGCGGGTTACGGGCCCAACGAGCCGTGACCCAGCCCGGCATTTGGCCATGTCTAAGTTTAGCACACACAAATTTAGACTAAGTATTCATCTCACTAACTGAAGTCAAATAAAAGGATCACAATACCTTCATGTTAAAAAGGGGCAAGAAAAGAGGGACAAGATATGGTAATTGAGTTGCAATCTCATTATTAAACTTGTATTGGAAAATCAATCAGCATAGTTCATAATGAATAGCACTAAACTCATATAATCACAAGCTGTAATTGTATTCCTTTGATCACCAATTTTGCTCAACTATAGACATTCTCTTTTTTCTATATTGTGTACATGTATAGCATACTAATCATACTAGCACAAAAGAATCAAACAACCAAGCTCATGTGTACTGCTCATTCCATTTGGGTCACTTTCTTCATAACCTGGCCGATCGAATGCAACAATATAGATGCCTAAATTTCTCGTGGAGGAAATCACTTTCTCAACTTGGCCATGAATAACATAGAACATGAGTCCTTCCCACCTCTTGAGAAAATCTCAGTTGCATCTCCGTTGAAGAGTGGACAACACCCAAAGTAACATTTTTCACTTGCAATTCATTCAATAAACTAAAACTCAGGGATCGATTTACATACAACCCTTCTCGGAATGTTTTCATTCTTCCAATTAAACTAACCCAATGAAATTAGTTTAAGAATTTCAAGAATGAGTAAAAACAGTGAAAACAAAAGCAACCATGACAATCAAAATAGCTTTTCAATTGAAATTATTCAATCCAATTCTTTCACTCGCGGATACAACTTAAACCTAATAGACTTTCTATTCTTCAAAAAGAGTTGGAAAATGAATTTTCCACATAGGTTTTGTGGTTTCATCACATATTTGAAGAGCTTGTTTTTTCTCCTCCAAGCTGACTTCTTCATCTTTTCATTGGGAAGCTTGCTCAAATCAAAACCCCTATCGGCTGGAAGATTGAGATCGAACTCCTTAGGTTGCTTCTCTTTCTTCTCCTCCGTGTAATTCTTCATGGCTTTAGTCAGAGAAAAATTGAACCTTTGCACCCCCTACATCGGATATTATTATCCTCATAAACAGACTATTGATTCGTCTTTCATCTTCGGGATTAGAATTCTAGGTAGAAAAAATTGAATTGGAACAGAGAAGCGATACAGGGGGATTAGAATTATAGGCGGAAAAAATTTGAATGGGAAGAGAGAAGCGATGCATGGTTGTGACTACTCTTGAAAATCATAGTGTATTTACTGCTATTGTTGCGGAGTGAATGAAGGTATATTTGGAAAAAAAAAAAAAGGAAGAATTTGCTTTGGTTTTTTAGTGCGCCTTAAATTTCAAAAAATTTGAGAAATCCCTATGTGCCTTACATTCCAGAATGGAGGGAGTATACATCAACCAACAGAAAGTGAGGCTTGGATGAAATTGTTACAAATTAAATGTACTTAATTAAGACCCTAAGGATGCTTGGATATAAAAATTTTTGGATTTGTTTGGATTTTTTGGTTTGGTTTGGTTAATTTTGAAAAATATGGTATGGTTAGTTATTAGTGGGTATATTAAAATAATATTATTAATAAAATAATTAAAGTTGATTTGATGTAAAAGTATGAGAGAGATGATTTGAAGTGATGGTTAGTTAAAATTATGTGAATGGATGAATAGTGAATTAAGGTTGATGTGGTGTGTAAGAATGATTGGTTGATATTATTTAATTATATTAATAATATTAATGATAGTTGGGTTAAGTTAAAGTTGAGTTAAAAAAAAATAGTTGAGTTAAAAATGTTTGAATTTTTTGGATAAGTTTTGTATCCAAGCATCCTCAACAAATTATTGAACAACTTGACAAAAATTAGAAGTTGTTTATGAAATTGTACT